GTCACTGCAATATTCCAAAGTTAAAAGAAATTGTAAAACTAAACCAATTTTTAAGGCATGATTGTAAGAAAACGGTTCATCCCATATGGGACCCACACCAAATTTATAATAGTTTATAATGACATTAAATGGACAAGTTCGGCTCAAACAGAATTTAAATTGAAGTTTGAGAAAAAAAGTTAGTTTTTCCTGTCGCCTCACCCGCCTCCAGGCCCCCCTATTTAAGATAATTTAAATTAAAGTGGTGCAATTTATTATCTACTATAATTTAGAGCATTTAATTTTCTTAAAATAATATTTTCGAGCCAATTTTGTTAAACTCAATGGTTTGGGAGTTCTGAGACAAAAACTTGCTGAGGAAAAAAAAATTAAAATTGCGATGATAGACCTCTTAATATACCTACCATATTTTCGATATACTTAAAAAAAATAGTTGATTTTTTTGGCCCAGTCTAAGGTTCAAGATAAAATTGTAAGTTCAAGTTACAATTGTAGGTTCAAGTTACAATTGTAGGTTCAAGTTACAATTGTAGGTTCAAGTTACAATTGTAAGTTCAAGTTACAATTGTAGGTTCAAGTTACAATTGTAAGTTCAAGTTACAATTGTAGGTTCAAGTTACAATTGTAGGTTCAAGTTACAATTGTAAGTTCAAGTTACAATTGTAGGTTCAAGTTACAATTGTAAGTTCAAGTTACAATTGTAGGTTCAAGTTACAATTATAGAATAGAAATTGCAAAAATCAAAGTTAGTTTTGGCTAAAATTTGTAAAATTTTTGTTGGCCCTTCTACGCCTTCGTATTGGAGTGATTTTTAGTATTTTTACTACGAGATCAAACAGACCTTGTTGTGGATTGTGGCATAATCTGTATTTTGTAGTATGTGTCAGAACTGGCCCTATTGTAAATGACCAATAGAAACCAATAAAAAATAAGTAATTGGTTTGAATTGGTTTTAAATGGTTTGAAATGTGTTTTGGCGCTATGAATCACCAATTCATTCCAGTTGAATTCATATTGGTAATTTCCAATGAAGTCAGCGGTTTGAATTGGGAAATACCAATAGAATCCAATAAAAAATAAGCAATTGGTTTGAATTGGTTTGAAATGTGTTTTGGCGCCATGAATCACCAATTCATTCCAGTTGAATTCCTATTGGTAATTTCCAATGAAGTCAGCGGCTTGAATTGGAAAATACCAATCCATGCCTACGCTTGTCTCTATTGGCTAAATCCAATAGAAATGCACATGGAATGAATTGGTAATTCATAGCACCAAACCCATTCCAACCAATTTAAACCAATTAATTTTTTAAAATTTGGATTAGAAAATACCTACCAGTTTATTTTTCATTCAAAAATAATTTTAGATTCCAGAAGGATAACCGGGTAAAAACCATAATTCATTTTTTACAGAAGAGACAAAAAATTTATTGTTACTAAGTAATTTTATTTATTTATTATTTTTTTTGTGATATATGTATGTATTAATATATTAATACATATAACTTACTATCGCCTAAGAGGCCTATTCCCTTTCGCTAAACATGCATGTTCATGAACTACATATGTTTCGTAACATATGAGCCTATTCCCTTTCAATTATTTCGTCTATAGACGCATGCGCTCGAAGAATTTCTTAAACATCCATGTTTATAAACATCATCGGTGTTAAAATGGCTATTCCGTTTCCAAAATTCGATGTTTGGTGAACATACATGATGTTTGAAAACGTATGTTTACGAACGCTTGCCTAAGAGGTGCTGTTATAGACAATATTTAAGGTTTTTTATCAATATTTAAGGTTTTTTATCTTGCATTAATCATAAATTGCGGCGATGTTTGGTACAGTATACAGTACAGTATCATTATCAAGCATAGTAATTATAAATTAATTACTTTTTCATAATTAATACGTCCCTAATTAATTATAATTATAAATGATAAATAATTAAATAATCATATAAGGTTTTACACCAAACAAATTTGTTATTTGTTATTATTAATAATAATATATTTTTTGGTAATTTTAAAAATATGTTTGATTTTTTAATTATTAAAATTTCCTAATTATAATACCAGAATACAAATTTTGCTTTACTAATTTTTTTTATATAATTTTATTATAATAATAAATATTTATTTAGAGAAAAACAGAAAATTAAAAAAATCTGAGTGTGAAGAGAGAATTTGGGGGGAGGAATAAAAAATAACTTGGAAAAATATATTTTATTAAAAAAATACAACAAATATAAAATATCAAATACCTATGTAATAATATTATTACTCAAAAATATAGACAAAATATTAGTCAAAGAAAAGTATAACTAATAAAATACAAAAAAATATGCATCTAAAAACTATTTTTCTTCACATGGGAGCTTAAACTTTTTGGTTTAATTTTAAAATCTTTTAGGTTTTATCAATACCTTGTAAAACCTCTACACCTTCACTACTCGTCAGAGTTTGAGTTGGACTTTCTCTTTATGCGTCCCTGTTGTAGAAGGCACCCTTCCACTCGAACTTAAAGGATAGTCAATGAAGAGTTCCAACGATGGTATTACCTCCACCTTACCCTCCACCACTAACTTTCACAGCGCTTCCTCTATTAGGGCTAGTAATTTATCCTTAAAGTACTTAAGTTGTTTTACTGGCTCCCCGACATTGCCAGTCTCCATGTGAGAAATGCGTAGTTTTCTTGCCATTTTCAATACACTAAAAGTGTGTAAAAATAAGTAACAAATAATTATTTTAAGATATTTTATGATTACCTTTTTCCATATAAGGATGGACTTAATGGCCCCACCAGAAGATCTGTGCTTTGGCTAGTTCAGCATAAAACGTTTTTCCCAAGTAGGTATTTTTAGAATTTGTGGATTTTCCCAAATTGTTTTTAAGTTCATTTAATATATTAAATATCACCAATGATGTTTAAAACAATTATCTAACACAATTTTAGTTTAGTCTGCGACTTTTAGGTTATAAAACTAAGAAACTCCCTGTCCTAAAAACATTTATCGCTGTTCAGAAAGATTCAAGGTCAAGACTCTCAACATATGAGAAACGGAATACCCCTAAACATAGGTAATGTTTGGCTTGTCGTTGGGTGAACATACATGTTAAGAAATCGATGTTTACGAACAGCAAGAAAGGGAATAGGCCTCTAAATCCCTAAATCTTACACAATGTAATGTTACACATATAAACATTTTTTTAATATTTAAGTAGACTACTAACACTAGGCACTTAACACTGAAATGTAATGTTACACATATAAACATTTTTTTAATATATATATATATATACTTAAGTAACACTGAAATCGACTAATAAAATAAACCGCTAATAAATGGCGTCCAAAGACGTTTTTTCTTTATGATCCCTGTTGAAAATGACCAGTAGAAACATATAGAATCCTTACAGTGTTTCTATATGTTTTTATAGTTTGTTATATGACACTATGGATTCAATATGTAATCAGTATTATGAACTGTATGTGTTTATATGGTTTTATATGACAGAAATTTATATGAAAATCCATCTTAAATCATATATGAATGAATATGAATTTATAGGTAATACATTGTATATGGTCAGTTTTTTATATGCCTGTGTAGAAATGAATATGAATATGGTCTTATATGTAATGTCTGTTTCAAAAATCATATAGTATCATATTGGAACCAGCAGGGATTTTTCATATATGATTTTATATGTCATTTACAACAGGGATGGCGTCTCAACCTCGTTGATTTTGCGCAGCTACACGAGAGCCCTCTTGCGATATTTGTATTGTATTGGGAATAACCAATTAGCAGATTTTTCGAATCTTACACTGGGAATGCCCAATTGAATTCAATTGGAAATTACCTATAGGTAGCTTTATCCAATCGAAACCAATAAAAACCATTAGAATCCTAACTGGTATTTTCCATCATGGAAAATACCAGTAAAAACCAATTTCTGTTTTATATCGCGCCCAATTAAATCCAGTAAGTCCAATTCAGACCCATTGATACCAACCAATACTTCAATTGGTTTCTACAGGAATTAATCGGTCATTTACAACAGGGGGTACAGATATCAATAGACATAAAGCTAAACAAGTTATCAAAAATGTAAAGTTTTCGGCAATTGTATAAAATATTTCCCTACTTTTTTTTTCAAATAGTCTCATTATTTTTAAAAAAGCACCACAAGCAAGAAAATATGAGAAACGAGCATGGACAATTTTTTTGAGGTTATTTTTTTTTGACGAACTACAGATTATAAAGGGACGAACCGTGGGTTATTTAACTTTTTTTTTTAAGGTTTTATTGGCTCTTAGTCTTTTTCAGACTATTTAGCCAGCTCATGATGTTTTTTTATTTTTTACTAAACACCCAAGGCTGTGACCGGGAATCGAACCCGGTACCGTGGCGCAGATTGATTACCGCTCTGTAGCTTTAACTCACTGCGCCATCCTCGGCCCCAACTTTCAACTTGAAACTTTCAAGTGACAGTGTGACAGTGGGCGGCACCGGGCCGGAGTCAGTGCCGTGCTGCTGCATTTAATTTGGGAAAAGGACAGTTGGCAACCCTAGTTCAAGGTTAATTAAAAAACTTTTTGTAACAAATATTTATTTCCTGGAATGTTACATATTTGAAACAATCTCACCAATGCACATAAATAAATTATACATCTAAATTTATTATATTGGCGCGGCTTGAATTTAAAAAAATGTTTGTGCAAATAATTATATTATATAAAATTAATGTAAGAATTTTATATTTACTGACTAGAATTAAATACATCACAACATTATTATATTAAAAAAAATGACAATCTAAAAAGGGAATTAAATATACAAAATTCACTAAATATTTTTGTATATTCCTAATTATCTAATCATTGGTAACTACTTGACAACACAACAAAAATCAAATAAATATAAAAATACAAGCAATAGATATTTTACATTTAGAATATTTAGACAGTTTAAGTAAATCTATCTGTGCATATTTCCAATTGAAAAATACCTATTGTAAGTGATAAACTTTAGGTATTAACACTTCTATCAGTTAAAAGAATTTAAATTTAATATTTTTAAAACAGCAATTATTAATTTGTTAGTTAATATAATATAAGATTGTTGTTAATAAATATGACTAAAAACGTAATGTCTATATAAACAAATAAATATTATTTACAATGCTTAACATAAAATTAGATTAAAGATTTTAAAAACTGTACAAGTATTTGGTAAATATTATGAGTTTTTATATTTATAAAAATATTTTAAAAACATTTCTATGGGCTTTACATTTAAAAATGGTGAATTGAAAACGGTAAATTTTTCTTTAAACATTGAATATTATCTTATTAATTTTTAGCAATACAATAGCATAAAACTGGCATTTAGAAGGTCTGCATGAGATATGTGGGGTATAGCTTATTTAAAATATAAAAAATAGTCTTAATTGTTCAAATACTGGCTTCTAAATTTAACTTTTTAAATATACAAAAATAAAAAAGGAACAACTTTCAAATAATTTAAATATTAACTCATTTGAAAGCAAACTAATGGAACAACAATCAGACGAACTGATTCTCTTTATAAGTACAATTCTAGTCCAATTAAAACCAAATTCTTATTACTATAGTCTGTTCTTTACTCTATACCAAAAGTATTAGTCTCTTCAACAGCCAACAGCAGCTTTTCATATAAAACTTCAGAAGTGGGATAGGGCGGCAAATCTAAACGATTAAAACAAGTATGAGCTCTGGGAAGACTGTTTGGTTTGCCCCATTTTTCTATGCAAAATTTTCGAGGACCTATCGAACCTCTCAAGGCCGAAAAACCTTCGAACGGTATACTTGAAGTGCCTGTTACAAATTGAAGAAGCCTAAGCCTTTGCTCATTGGAAAACCTGAAATATAAGAAACATATTAACATTTTTAACTAACAATTTTTTTTGCCCTAAAATAAATAACAATTAAATTTAAAAACTTCTTTGCATTTAATCTAGTATACTTGGGGTAAAAAAAAATGAAATAGGTGATTCTTCACAAGATTTTGTGACGAAAAGTTCATATGGATGTTATCTTAAATTTTTCTATACAAGGTGTTGAAAATGCAAAGAAAATTTTATATCAATACCAATTAACAACTAATAAAAGTAACTTTGGAGAAATAAATGTTTCACTTCAAAACCAACTGCTTTGCTTCTCTTAAGAGTCACCATTGATCAGGGGGGCTAAGCTTTTTAATGCAATTCCCAACGGTTAGGTAAAATGAAAAATAAACACTTATATTGAATATTGAAATTGAAATTAAGAAGAAGTTATTGTGCCCTTCCCAATAAACATTTTTGTTTTTTATAAATGTAATATCATCCGAATTATAAAACCTACATTTCTTAATTTGGTTACAGAAATATTTATATTACTCTTATATACCCCTATTTGGGAAGTTTATGAAGGTTATTGGTACCTATTTTAGTAACACTATAAATCCCAAGTTTTATAACTAGAGATAACAGGAATATTATGGAAAGCACTTCCTAAAGAACTGCTACCGGCTTTTTTCATTCTTTTAATATTTCTCTCTTGATCAGGAACATTTAAAATATATATTTCTTCATAGATACGCTATCTTTCTTATTGTCATCTTATTCATTAACTTGTTTAATCCACTCGAATATTTTAAGAAGACAAGTATGGCGAAAATACTAATGGTATATAATTTAAATCTAAGATGTTTTACTCAATACAACTTAAAGTGCAAATTAATTTTTATTGTAAATATGTACACAATACTTCGAAAAACAGCAGGGGACATCAAAATAGCAAAACATAAAAAATTTTATACTATTAAAATATATGAATATATTTTTTTTAAATACATTAATATCTTTCTTTTGCTTACATTAAACAAAGTAGTGAATTTTGTACCTTAGTTTGGTCAATTAAGTTCTTTTTGTAATACAATTCGATTAATATTTATTCTATGTAAAAAACAATAATGGTGAAAACAATGTATCAACCTTGAGCCTTCTTATATTGCTCATGGTAATTTTATATAACATAAGGTACTAGTTCAGTTTTAAAGGACTATTTAAGTTACTTAAAGTGTTATATTATATAATTGTAAAACTTTTATATACATTGTACCTAGTAACTGTCGTTACTATAGTACTAAAAGTGATGATATAAAACTTTTGATAGGCAACCATCTAACCGCTCAAAACTAGTGTTATCAGGTTGGCCATTTTTGCCTGCAGTATTAATGGTTTTAACGCAATGAAATCAATTTATTTCAATAAACATTTGATTTAATTTAGTTTTAAAATATTTATGTTAATAATATTATATTACTTATACAAGGTGTCCCTAAACTTAGTGGCATAAATTTAGGAGCAGATTAAGCAAGCCAAAATAAGATGAAAATCTAAATAAATATTTTTCCTAATTACGTATGTTTAAAAGATACAGGGTGATAAAGTGTTACTTATCATATCAGTTTTTTAATATAACTTCTACTATGGTAGACTTGGAAAGGTGATATTTTGCGAGCAGTCACTTACTACCAAAACGCATATTCACACATAATTACAATTGTTTGAGTGAACACAGTGTCATAGAAACAGGGGTTGCTTAAGCTTATTGTCCCATACAAACTTTGAGGTTAGGTTTTTATACCATTTGATGCAATTTTTCGATTACTCAGTTCGGCTACTATTAAAAAGGTGTACCTCTCAAACTTCGATAAAATAAACCGTTTCCGAGATATTCGAGATTACAATAATTGTTATTTCGCATTAAAGGACAAAAAGGTATATGATAACAAATTTTTTAATTGAAAAAACTACAATTTTTTTAATGTGACGGTCAGAGCAAAAAGTCCCGATGCTCATGGAATGCCCTTTTTAGTTTTTACAATTAAAAAATAAAATTTGTTATGATATACCTTTTAATCCTTTTAAATAATGCGATATAACAATTATTCTAATCTCGAATATCTCGGAAACGGTTTATTTTATCGTAGCCGTAGCCGAACTGAGTAATCGATAAATTTCATCAAATGTTATAAAAACCTAACCTCAAAGTTTGTATAGGACAATAAGCTTAAAGCAACCCCCGTTTCTACGACACTTTGTTCACTCAAACAATTATAATTATGTGTGAATATGTGTTTTGGTAGTAAGTGACTGTTCGCAAAATATCACCTTTCCAAGACTACCATAGTAGAGGTTATATTAAAAAAACTGATATGATAAGTAACACTTTATCACCCTGTATCTTGGAAACATAAGAAATTAGAAAAAGTATTCATTTGGGTTTTCGTCTTATTTTGACTTGCTCAATATTTTCCTAAATTTATGCCAATAAGTTTAGGGACACCTTGTATATTCTATGCTAAATATTTTCTTTTCAACCAATTTTTAATTTATATTATGAAAAAGCGTTGCGTCGAAAGCTAATAATATGCTTAATTTTTGTTTCAATTACTAAACATGAACGGGAGTCGTATAAAAAGGTTGCACAATAAATGAGTATTTAGGAAAAATTTAATGAAAATGTTAATGTGTAAGAGTACATATACATTGTGTATGTTTTCATGTAAAATTTACTTTGTTTTTGAAAAGTTTTTAGTTATTTTCAAATATTATGTGAACCGCTGGCTTTTTTTCAATTTATTTAATTTCATGTTAATGGGCTTGTAATTACGCAACTTTTCTCTAATTTAACCAACCTTGTAGGTAGTTGTTATACCCATCTTGGTTTGACAACATACATTTGGGGTTTCTATCCTAATTGCTGATTTTGTTGTAATCTATAATTCCCTAGCATACAAAATTATACATACCTCTCAATAGCTTGCCAAAACCAAACAACCACAGGATTTTGGTCATGATAACCGCCCCTATACTCTGTATGTTGTCTCCAATCAACCAAATCGATTTCCGCTGTCCCCGCAATAACCAATTCGAGTTCCCTAGCATCAAAAACGCTCACTAATCGCGGATCCACAACCTCATAGAAACCTCTAACTAAAGATTCAGTTTGTTCTCCAACTCCTCTCTCCAAACGCCATCTAACAATCCTCTCCAAATATTCCTGAAAATAAAAAAACTTGCAATTTCTTTTTTTCAGCAATTTTTGTTCTATCGCGTGCGCATAGTTGTACTTTTCTGCACGCTTACTTTGCCCACGCAAATGCGTTAATACAGGAATAATCTTATTAAATCAAAAATACTTTAATAGTATTTTTAATCAAAATAATAATAATAAAAAATATTGCTAAAATAATTCAGTGTAAAAATATAAGTGGCAACTATCCGCATGATTGTAGAAAAAGTTCAAAATGTAAAATGTTAAAGATAATTTTCTCATAACGTGAAAATTGTACGAGTTCTGCATGTTGATTAATGCAAACAACAATATTAACGTATACAGATTTTTGTATATAGCTATAAAAACTTTAAAAGTTAATGTTAATAACTACACTTCTCTTTTTTGCACCTTTGCTTCTTACCCTTTCAAATACTACCGCTGAGAAAAGTAAAATATAAGACCCGTGGAGAAAAAGATCAATTTTCTCCACAGTTCAAGACTGAGCCACTTTCTCAATGAGAAAAGTATAAGGAATAAAGAAATGTACAAATTCTTTATTATGATTAGAAACAAATATATTGTAACAATATATTTTCTGACATTTATGTCTAAAAATTCAACGCATTGTTCATATTAATAAATTTTAAATGGTTATTTATAAAACATGTTTAGTAAATTGTTTTCTAGGTATACTTTTATATCCTAAATAAATAATCTCAAAACATTAAAATATCAAACATAAAATTCAATTTTTAAAACTAAAAAAAAATTTCGTTAAACTTTTTTATACCTAAAGTAAGTAATCCTTCCTACAACGTGGTTTATTTGCCGGTGTACGGAATTAAAACTTTTAAAATAATTTTGAGCGTATAAATTCACAAAAAATCCAAAATGAAAAAAGATTTTGATTTTTTTAACGCAAATTTTAGCGTCAAATATTGTTTTTATTTTTAATCGGTCTATAATTAACAACTTTATTGTTGTAATTTTCCCGATTTCAAGATTTAACACAAATTTTTATTTTTTTCCAATTTATTTTAATTTGAGTATTTTGTAATGTACTTAATACTTTGTATGTTATGGGTGATTCTACAATTATACTTATATATGTTATGGGCGATTCAACAAAAGTTGTCATTTTCCCGATTTCAAGATTTAAGACAAATTTTTATTTTTTTTCCAATTTATTTTAATTTGAGTATTTTGTAATGTACTTAATACTTATGTATGTTATGGGTGATTCTACAAAAGTTGGATAACTTGATGTCATCAGTCAATAGAGTAGGTATTTTAATATTTTTTGTAAATATTTTAGTATATTACAAAAGATCCAGGTTTTTTTTAACTTGTCCACCCAATTTTAATGTATTTTTCAAAAGCACATTCAAAATTTCAGTACTGTGGTGAGTAGTTATTTTCTTACGTATATATATTTCATTGTAATTTATATAAGGCTATATGTGATTTGTTGATAAGTAGCATCCACTAATAAAAAATATCAGTAAAATACTTAATTCCGAATTATAATCTCAAATTTGTATCCCATTCATCAGTACCATGTCGTCAGTTCCATGTTCGATGTTACAGTTATCTTTTTTCGCAAACTTCAATTTAAATTCTGCTTGCGCAGAACTTGTTTATTTAATGTCATTATAAACTCATATAAATTTGGTGTGGGTCCCATATCTAATAATTGAGATAACGATATACCCAAAATCCACCAGCCGCCACTGATGTGTGGTATTATTTGATTTTAAGATATTTAATGTATAATATGCTCAAAGTTGCAATAAATCTTATATTTTCCAATAAATTATGTATTTAATTTTTTTTTTTTTATTGATGTACGTAAACCTAAAGAACCCATTGTGGGTTATAACAGGTACATTTTGTTTGTATATAAATAAATGTAATGTGTAAAACAATGTGTATATATATATATATATATATATATATATATATATATATATATAACTGTATAAATAAATAGATAGAATATAAATATGTAAATAAATGTCTCGTTTATATCACAGATCTTTCCTGAACTAATTATATGCTGGACTATCATTTTTTTGAATTGGCTGTCAGTCATGTTTTTGTAGCTCTCGGGCAAATTGTTGTACAAACTAACTCCTCCTGAAGCCAGTCTTCTCTCCCCCATTTTGGTTTTGGACTTTAGCAATCTGTAAGTGTCCCTTCCCCTTGTATTATAGCTGTGGAGCTCACTATTCATTTTGGCATTCAAGCCCCGTGTTTGGTGGACTATTTTTAAGGTTTCAGTCTGCCTCAGTTCCTCTATGTTTTTTTCTCAATTTTGTGCTTTGGTAGACAATGTCTACTAGACATATGCGGTTGACATGTCTTTTTTTAGATTGTACAAGATTTTTATGACCTTGTTTTGTTGTCTTTGTAGGTAGTTTAGGTTAGATTTGTCTCCTGTTGCCCAAAAGGTTATGAGGTAGGTTAGTTTTGGCTTTATGTACGCGTACTCCACGAAACCGAAACCGTAATCGGAACCATTAAAACGAAAATAGGGTGAACCAAAACCGTACCGGAACCGATATTTCATTTCGGTCCTGGTCCCTGGTAGACATATGCGGTTGACATGTCTTTTTTTAGATTGTACAAGATTTTTATGACCTTGTTTTGTTGTCTTTGTAGGTAGTTTAGGTTAGATTTGTCTCCTGTTGCCCAAAAGGTTATGAGGTAGGTTAGTTTTGGCTTTATGTACGCGTGGTAGACTATGTTTTTTTGTTGTGTAGGTAATGCATTGTTTAGTTTGTGAGCTAAGCATGTATATGATGTGTGACGGAACAGCAATCTGGAGTGTAGAACTCGATGGACAATACGGCTGGTGTTGCTGGTTGGCTAGACCAGCAGGTCTCAGGGGTGTTAGTGTTCGAGAGTTTAAATAATACTAGAGCTCTTTGGGAAGTTATTTAATCCGTGTTATAAAGCATGTATAAAGTTTAGTGTAAAGATCTACAAATACGACAAAACACCTAATTAGTACCACAAATTATGCATATAAAAATATATGTTTATAAAAAAGACAAAACTGTTAATAAATAAGTATAAATTATCACATATAAAAGCTTACCTACAAATACGACCAAAGCCGTAGTTTAGTTTTAAGAAGCAATCCACTTTAGGGATTTAAACAAACTTAGGTCCTTGTAAGGTTCGCACTTGTGCGATCTTTAGCTAAAACTGCAAGATGGCGGGGTTTTTTGCACTCACGGGTATAAAAAACGCCGTGACTAGAAGTACACCGGGAGTACCGCTACTAAAAGTACATCAGGTTTGTGCGCATGCGTGTTTCCATAACAGCTGATTGTAAAATTTCGGATTTATTAGTTGACATTAAATTGGTACACTAAGGCCCAGTTGTATAACAGTTGGTAAAGAGCTGGTTAACTCTTGATATTAATTATGTAATTATTAAGCTAACTTTCAAGTTGTATAAACATTGATTAATATTTAATTAAGTGATTGAAATACAATTAACAACAAAATTAATGAAATGTCAGTATGAATTACCCAAACCAACCCAAACTCAACAACCCAACCCAACCGACCCCGCCCCATTGAGCGCGAAATTGAACGACCATTTAATATTATACAATTGACAAATATGCTAAATAAGGATTTTTTTCCACCCGGTGTACTTTTAATAGCGGTACTCCCGGTGTACTTCTAGTCACTTTGATAAAAAAAGAATAATTCGCGGGTGATTATCGATGCGATCTTGGTTGCCTAACTTCAGCCAAATGATCGTCACTATAGTGTGCAAGGGCCGGTGACCCATAGATATAGTTTCACTACAGATGCTAGAGTTGTGGCTAGTTGTTGTATGTGGTTCTTCCAGGTGAGACGTCTATCTATGGTAAGTCCTATATATTTTATTTGCTGTACTTCTTTCAAAGTTTTGCCCTTTAATTTTAATTTATTGTTACCCTGGTATACTCGTCACTTCCCTTGCATTCAAATTTAGAAAACACAGATATTTTAGAAACTGTTTGAAAAAGTGACTGGCCCGGTCTGGAACAGTATATTTATTATATTATCTATGTTCTTATAACAAAATACTGTTTAATTTTTTCCGAAAACTAAATAAACAAAATGAAGTCAAAAGTTGCCCAACTTTTGTAGAATCACCCTTATTTTTAATGAAGTAAAAAAATTAAATTAATAAATATTATTATTTTTTCATAATAAACATACATTTTAAGCAAAAATATTTTCCAAAACACAAAATCGGATATAAAGTTTTAACGTTTACTTCTTTATCATCAAGTAATTATTACTATTATACTATTATTACTATTATAGAGGGCCCCTCTAAGAGGGGTGACTAATTTTTTACTTGTGTAACTAAATAACAATTACTCATTGTATCATTTGTTATAGAATTCAAAGGAGCAACACATTTAGTTTTATAAAATTAATTAAGGTAGTATTAATTTAATAATTAGGAGGCGATTTTCTATTCTTTTGAAATATTTTTTTAGTAATTCATTTAATTTTTGTTTTTCGCCCCTATTGAGTTTTTGTTCGTGTATGATGCGTGAGCATAACACTTTTTACGACGGGCCTGACCGGTGCCAATCGGCGTTTGCTGGGTTAAACTCGACCAGCCTCATGTTTGATTTTATATTATATCTTCTCTAGAGTTTTATCCTGTTTTTTTCTCAAATTTAATTGTTTATTATTTAAGTTTTGGGTATATATTATTGTGGTTTTTCAATTCATTTTAATTTTGTATGGCCACTTTTTAAATTAGTTTTTTACCATAGATCTTAGTGCATGTATAATGTTATCAGAAAAAGGCAAAAAAGGAATACTTGTTTTTTTACTGATGGTCTAAGCCACGTATCTGCAATAAAGGACAAAATATAATTTTTATTGTTTTTATGAATTAAAACGTCCTTTATAACTTAATATTGTACTTAGTATAAAACATGTTTTGAAAATATTTTCTACAATTGAAATCCAAATCCAAGCATTTAAAAATGTTATTTTGAGGCATCCGGTATAGCAGTTTCATATCTGCTGTTTAAAAACCATTAAATTACTTTTTTCAGACTCAAATCCTGTTTTACTTTTATAGCATTTTCCCCTTAAAAATTCTTTAAACGACTAAAGTTAAATATAATTTTACTAAATTTTAAAATGGTACCTTTTTATTTTTTTCTGTAACCGGGACGTTTCGACCGCCCGGCTTTAGCTCCCTCTCGAGTACTTGTCCAAAGACTTCCTCCGTCACAGCGAACGTCAGTTCGAGTTCGCCCTGATTTGAAACGTCATGCTCTCTAATCCACTGCAGCGACTGATGAAACTCAAAATCGAGACTCTCCAAATCCGAGAGTGCCACCGGGAGCCTCAACAGGGCCTTGTAAAAGGGCCGTGTGAAGAAGGCGTCCAATAGGTACTGATGAACTAGGGCCAAGCCCAAAACCCTGCCACTAAATCTGAACCTGAAAACAGATAGCATAATGAGTTCATTATTCCTTGGATTTTTGCGGCCAAATGACAAATTATGAGGCCATTTACACCATAAACTTGAAATGTAACCACATATTACATTACAATACAAGCACCTACAGCAAATATCTCATGAATATTGGTGATATTTGCAAGAAAATATTTTGGATAATTAGGAAACCTAAATTTTTAAAAAATGTGCGATATGTCGGGTTTAGAGGCCTGATATTTTATTTTTAACTACCAATGTAAAATTATAGTGATCTGTTGAACAAACCATTATTTGGCACCTGATTAGTTACTTTTTAATTGGCTTCACATATATATATATATATACTACTTTAGTATTATTATTATCTACCACTACTGTATTACAAAATGTATGCTTACCAGTCGTGGTAATTATCAACAAAAGCAGACATAGGAGAAATTTGGACAGTGTACGTGTCATTGGCGGAATATTCGAAAAGACCGTAGTAAGGATTAAAAAGTTCCCTGGATAACAAAAAGAAAAACTCCCTAGATGGACCACCATAATCCAAGCCTTCCTCATTATCCCAAACAACACACAATTTTCCTTTTTGCAGCTCTTTTTTATTTGCGGACATTATTCTTCTAAAAGCGTCTTCTAAAAGGTGGTCTCTTCTTATATGCAACCTAAAAATAAATCTCAATAAGAAAAGAAATTCTTTTATTAATACAATTAATTTTTACTTGAATTTTCCAGGACCCTGTCCGTATCCTTTGCTCTCTAATTTCCTGTAAAAGTTTCTTAGTTTGGCTTCAAAGTCTCGTTTGTGAGGAGCCTGCACCCTATGCCTGCCCAATCCCGGTGAAGCTATAGGAGACGGAGCCGGCGATCCTCTGGGACTTCTTGCATTGGCAGCACTAGATGACCGTGTCTCTACCGCGGGAACATACGACATAATCTCCTGTTCGAAAAGGCTGCAACAAGATTTAGGTTTTATTTTCATCATAAAGTAATATATTTTTTAAAATGTAAAAGTGTAAAATATTTTATTTGATTTACGATTACAAATAAACGCGAAGATTTTAATAAATTAACTTTTAAATATTTGTGTTCTTGACTAAAAATCATAAAGTAATTTGTATATTTTCTAGTTTAAATCGGGGACCGGGTTTTTGGACAGAAAACCGGACCGGAACCGGTATTTATTTGTGAACCGGAACCGTAACCGAACCCATATTATTTTTAAATGTAACTCTAGAGACCGAATCTTTAAATTTAAAACGGGTTTTTAGGATATTTTCGGTTTTTTTTAAATTTCTTTTTACAAAAATAAACAAAAATATATTTTGTTTCCTTAAAAAATTTATAAAATGCAAATGGAAAAAAATATTTGAGCACGGGCTATAAATCTATAAATTATACGCTCTAGCACAAGTATTGTTGCTGCGTTAAAAACAACTGTAAATGTTGTATAAATAATTATTGTAAATGTAAACTAAAATAACTATATTGGAAAAAAAAAGATGTCATATGTCTACATAATACTAGGCAACACTGTTATTAATAAACCCCCACTATAAAATATCCTACCGACTGCGCCATGAAGTAAATAAAACCAGAGTAGAACTGATTTATTAAAATAACTGGTTTGTTCTATGATGACTAGCATAGAAATAATACTAGTATTATTTATATGATGACTAGCATGGGTGGTAGGTTCATTTGTAGTGGGGATTTATTAATTACAGTGTTGCCTAGTATTATGTATACATATGACACCTGCAACACAAGTAAGTGTCAAGATCAAACATAAAAGAAACAAATTAGAGAAACAATAATTATTAGTTGTGAGAAACAACAGAATTTTTGGAGAAAAGGAAGAACAAAAGCTGAAAGTTCAGTTTTTTCTTTTTGGATAACTTTTAAATATGACTTTTCCAGTTTTTCAATCACAAGATCAGAAGAAAAAGATATAGGTAGCCAGCCGATCGAGAATAAAAGTAAAGAAAAAGAGAATGAAGAGCCTTAAATTGAAGAACCTGATTTGAAAAAAAGAAGAGACCAAGTAATTTAATTACATAATAATACTAATAATAATAATAATAATAATAATAATAATAATAATAATTAATGATTTACATTCACAGCAAATTATAATAGGATTGAGCCATGCAATTTTTTATTGCATATTTGGAATCCTAAGAAGAGAGATCGTGAAGACACGATGTTATAACAGATTTGTCAAGAATTACGAATAAATCCAACATATGTTTTTAGCATGGCTGGACTATATTCGATATTCTTTAAGCATTTCTATCGTTTAAAAGTCAAGGAAAAGTACATACTAAAGGTGCGAATTTTGAATTTAAAAATAATTTTATAAACTTTATACTGACATACGCTGTTAATCGCTTTATAATAAGTAAAAAGATTATAACCATCAAAGAATTTGGTTATGTTTAAATTTTTTTGCATATGGTTTAAATTTTATAACTACGTCATCAATGTAAGGATATATATCTCAGACATTCGTATTGTATTTCCAAGCCGCAGGAGCGCTGGCATGCTTCAATTTAGCAGTACGTATGAAATTTATGACATTTTACATCGATAACGTAAGGGCCAAGTAAAAAAATAAATTATATACTTCATTCGTAAAACTTGACACGCCTACCAATATCTACCAATATACCATTTATATTATAAAACCGTGACGTCACGCTACCAAAGAATTTATGGATAACTTTTAAGGAATAATTAAAACTATCAAAATAACAAAAACAACACAAAATGATAATCAAAAATTTTGCCTAAAGCAGGTTTATGTATTAATTTAATGTAGGTATTAATAACTTTAAATTAATTAACGAAGCAATCGTTTATGAAATAATATTTAGGAAATATCAACAAATATAAATATATCATTGAATTTTATCCGGTCTAGTTAAATAAACCTTGAAAGCGCCAAAATTATCGTTTTACACAATTATGTCAGGATACATAATTCAGTAAATTAATAAAAGGATTCAATGTTATTGATAATAAATTATTATTAACCGTGATCTTATCAGTGGTGTAACATGAACTAAGAGCCCCCCGCAAACGTTTCCAGGGGCCATCTCCTTATAACGGGAGTTTTGAATGGGGGTCGGCCATCCGTCAATGTAGGCCCCTCAGCTGGCCCCCCCGAGGTGCGGTGCGGGGATGTTTCTTACGCCACTGGATCTTTTATAGGTAATTATATGGCATCTGTATTACATGTGAAGACTTTTTTAAAAATTATAAGCATAAAGTCGTTTACTTACATTTTATTTTTATAGACAATTATTCCCGAGTCTTAAATGACCACAATTATAATAACATTAATCAAAGAATTACGTACCTATATTACCATAATTTGCCATAAAACGGACTTTACCATTCCTTTTAGGCATTATTAAAAACATTTTAAACGATTAATTTTCAAGAGCACGGCGGTAATTTCATAATAATAAATAGACGAAGTTTTTTTAATAAATGCAAGAGTGCAGAGTAATTTAACAGCAGAAGTATTATCAGAAAACTTAAAACACATTTATTACTTTGTGATGTTTATACCAAATGCCATAATAATTGTGGTGGTGGTCTTTATAATATATAATTATTTGTAAAATAGGTTTAAAATAAAATCCAATAACTAACAGGACCATCCTGGTGGTGTTTGTTGAAACTGGGTAGGCCAGCTCAGTGGCGGCTCCACAGTTTAGGATCAAGCGAGACAAAATTTCTTTCTTCCTGATTTTTGATGGTACTAATGGCCACTGACAGGACGCCATTACCGAGGGGCAACATGTTTTTAAGCAAAAAATAGACTATAATGGATCAAAATTAAATAAAATTGTTAATTTTTAAGATTTAATACCTCTAAAAACAGTAGTGCCTAAATATAACATTTTTACAGATTGTTCTTAATTTTGGCTACCATAACTACCCCAAAGCCAAACTCACGTTACAATTTTTAGGCCAACGTTTATTCCCTCTTTCCAATGGTACACAGGGTTAGGTCCTGGCTTATTTAGTTTTTGAAATTTGTCTCTATTTAGGTACTCTGTTTTCTACTTAACTAATACTAATTAAAATTACTGTCATTTACATTAAGTACAAGTTTTTTAAACTCATTACTAACTATTATTATGGATTATTATTATTTTATAAAAAGAATATATATTTAAAGGAGACGGCAACAAATTTTGTTGCCCGCGGTATCAAAAGAACTAACGCCGGCACTGATTACTTACTATTACAATATTTCTTTAAAAATGGTTGGTATTTTAAATCTGTATAAAACGGATGTACAATAATAAATATTGATCCAATATGAATGTCAACGCTGAGTACTGAAATAGACTAAACAACAATTTTAATTCCCTTTTTAGATAATTAAATTTAGACATTTTCGCCTCGTTAGGAGTCTTTCATAAATAACTTTAAAAGAATGAAAAGAATAAATTTGCGAAAATCTCATGCAGAGAAAAGATATTTTTTTAAATTTCCAGACAATGTTTATATTTATCTTATAAATATTTATTTCCTTTTTGATTACCTACCAGTTAATGTAAATTTGCCAGATATGACAAATAATTCATTTATAATAACTTTAGCAAGGCATTTATCTTGAGTCGATGCACTTTGTATTTGTAATATAATAGATCGTTATTGTTATCATCTAAACAAATTAGTATTGATAAGAAAAAAAATAGAAAGTCGTAAAACGTTTTTATTTGAAGAGTTCCTAATAAAATTTTATTTTGTTTAAAATAGGGGTTAAAAATAATCTTCAAGGAGTCTTTTGAAAAAAGGTTTTGTCCACATTTTTGTGCCACATGTAGGTACCTACAATGATTTATATTATTTTAAGAATGCAATAGGGATCTTTACAAAGATGCCAAGTAAGACTTTTTTGCCTCATCAAAATTACAAAAGCCTGCAAAATGTTCTAAAAACGTTTATTGAATTGCACAGCTGCCAGGCATGTGTACTGATACATATTTTTATTTCCGGAATGATGTTAATGCAGCTAAATAAAATTAAATAGGTTAGTTTTCTGCTGAACTCTGTTTACTGTTAGATGATTTCCTGTAAATAGGTTTTAGTACGGTGCTAAATCTTATAATATATTTTACGATATTTATCATCAAATTTTATCTAAATCAGAAACATTTATTCCAAGACATACATTTAAATATAAAAACCCAAAAGTGTTTTAACGAAATTTTTTGTAAGTGCCAAAATAAAAATTACTAAAAATAAGCCAATGATTAAATAACAATAAAATCAAATCAAATGTAAAAGTTATTCATTATAATGCAATGTTTTAATTATACAGTTTAATATGCCTATATTAAAAGTGATATTAAGGTCATATTGAAACAATGCATTTTTTACGTTTTTGAAAAAAGTTAAGGAAAATGAAATTTTTTTTACATTTTAATAGCAATTTACCCATGATTATTTTAAATTTTGTATTAATTAATTATTAAATTATGTCAACCGGAAAGTAATGGTGATTGTGAAAAAATAATTAATAAAACTATGAAAAAAATATGTAAGAAAAATTCTATTTTGTTTACAAACATTGCAATATGCATCGTTATTTTGCAACTGTCTAAAATGTCCGTTAAAAGCGACGGTTACCTAGATAAAATTTATGGAAACTTTACTTTGGTTTACTTAATACTTAATTAATAAGGTCAAATCTACTAACAAATTAATAACGTTTATTTATTATATTTATCTATGTAAAAAAATTTACTTTATAGCATTTAACCGAAAAAAATCCAGATTTTTATGTGTTTAGGTTAATTATAAAATCTGTTGTGTATAGAGATGCGAATTGAAAAAAAAACAGTCCGTTTTTTTTGTTTTTCTTCAGGTTTTTTTTAATTGTTTTCTTTCAAATGGTTTTTTTCACATTTTAGTTTTTTTTTTCAAGATT